TCTGACATTGGAGTATGGGACAGCCTCAGCAAAACCTGAGAATGAGGGATTTTGTGAGGGCGGCAGGGCATGAGCAAAATAAAATGTAGCAGATAAGATTGGAAAGGTCTGGAGGGCCTTGAGTGTGGCTCAATCCAACAAGCAGAGATGAGCCTCCACTGGCTATTACAGAGCAAGATAGGGCAAAATTGATGTCTTGGAGAGACTCTTGATGGATCAGCATTTGCCAAGACCAATGACAGAAGGAAAATCAGGAGCTGTTTGCTAGGATCCAAGAGGGAGGTGGTAAGGGCCTGGACTTAAGGGTGGCCGGGGAAGTGAAAAGGAAGTTGAAAAGGAGACTTTCAACAAGGAATTTCTTAATTTGAAATAATTATAGATTCACAGGGAGTTGAAAAAAATGAACAGGAAGATTCCATGTACCCTTCACCCTGTTTCCTCCAGTTATATGGTAACATCTTGCATAACTATAGTACAATATCAAAACAAGGAAATTGGGATTGATACAATCTACAAAGTTTGTTCAAATTTTACCGAAAAAGAGATATTCTGAAACACTGATAGGATTTGGATTAGACCCGCTTGGCTGGGAAGAGAATAATAGTCCCAGAACAGGTATGTCCCATGGGCCTCCCAGCCCTGCAACCCAGAGCAAGTTGAAGTACCAGGATTGGGAATTCCAAATTCAAACGTTTCAATGCCCACCAGGGAGACTCTTAGGACCATCCTTCTGAGGAGAGGCTGCAGCATACTAGATGACAGACAGACACACCCACTGTCAGAGAGCAAACTGAGCATCCTTATGTCCTTCCCTTTTGTCATCTGCGTGTGGGAGGGGGGAATGGTGCTGACAGTGACTGAGCTGTAGGTAGTGGGGAGGGGAGGACTGGAGGGGGTGTCCAGAGCATCCTGGGACTTTTTCTCTAATTTGCTGTTTAGAACTGCAGGCCCAGCCGCGAACCCTTTTCTCCACCACCTAGAGACAAGCCGTACTTTTAAGAAGAATTTCATTCATCAAGCATTTTTCATGTGATATTTATTGATCCAGAAGCTTTGCATTTCATTTACTCTTCTCATATTCCCATCCTATAGATTAAGAGACTGATGCTCTAGAAGGTGCTCATTAAGTGATTTTGCAGAGGTCACACAGGTGAACCTGAGACACATGCAGCTCTATGATTTCAATCTTTCGATGTGGGGCACAGAGAGAAGCAAGAGTAGGGCTCAGCTGCGTACAACTCAGTCAAGGGTATAAGGTTCTTTCACACCATGATTTTGGTTGATCTTCATAGCGACCTTTAAGACAGGTGATGCTATGAAATAACTTTAAACATGTGAAAAAAACTAGGCTCAGGTCAAATAACTTACCCACGGTCAACATGGAAGCCAGGGATAGAGCAGAGTCCAACTTGAGTCTGCTACACTCCTAATCCATACTTGTCCCACCGCACCACTGGGCTGTGACAAGTAAGGTCTTACTCTTACCTTCAAGTTTCGTACAGCCCAGTTGGAAGGCCAACACACAGAAGAACAACTAATGACGCAAAGAAAGATTTGGAAAAGCTGGGCAAATCACAGAGAGAGATCTGCTGACGGGTTTTTGAGGGGTAGTGAAACCTGGCTGTAACTTCAGGGTGGGCATTTAGACAGGTGAAGCAGAGGTTAGGAGGGAATTCTAGGTGGGAAACAAGGCATGAACATAGGTGTGGAGGAAGAAGTAGCTGATTCCTGTGCAAAAGGCAGTGACTATGCCAGCCTCTTTGGGTGAGTGTTGCAGATGGGGTCAGAGGGAAGGATGTGGTGGAAAGGGGCATGTGAGAAAGACAGAAAAGTCTAGGCCTGCCTGCCTTATGGGCTGATCAGTCCTTGCAAAGGCAAAGCAGAATGCTGCATCTCAGGAAACATTAGCGATTCAAGACTTCTTGGAATGCGAAGGGAGGGAGGCTGGGGAAAGAGATGAAGCTGCAAGGGTAGCAGGGCCCAGTCACAAAACACCTTGAACATCTGTCCAGAAACCTGGCCTTATTGGAGGGAAGCAGAAGCCAAAGAAACAGTGGAAGCGCAATTTCAATTTACAATTGAAGAGACACGTTGCATTGATTGGCGTCCTCTTTACCTTTGGCCTGTGTTAGGTGAAACAATAAATGTCTTCATTGTTTACGCAGCAATTCTCAAAGTTTGGGTCCTCGACCCGGTATCACTAGAAATGCAAATTCTTAGACTCCATCCCAGACTTGCCTACTCAGAAACTCTGGAGGTGGGGGCCTGGCAATCTGTATTTTAACAAGCCTGTTAAGTGATTTCTGATGTACGCTAAAGTTTAAGAACCACTGGTTTAAACTAACGAGCACCAGAAATATATAATTTGAGGCTCAAAGCCTCAATTGCAGTGGTTCTTAACCTTAGCTGTATATTAAAATCACCTTACAAAATGCTGATGTCTAAACCCCACAGCCAGAGATTCTGATTTAATTGATTCAGACTAGACACGGTCATGAAGATTTTTAAAAGCCCTCCCCACAAGTTATTCAAATGCACATTTAAGTTTGAAGGGCAGCTGTAAGGAGGCTCATGCAGGAGTACATGTAAAAGGCAATGTTCTGTTGGCCAGGGTAGTGGCCGTGGAGATGGATGCTTACAAGAGTACTTGGTCAGGCCTTAGTAAGAGATACCATAACGTAGTGGGGTATGGGGTGGAGCCAAAAATGACTTCAGCTTGCACAAGTGTGTGAATGGTGGCACTCTTCTTGGGTATGGGGAGCCATGGAGAGGACCAGGTTTTAGGGGGAAGACTGTGGGGTACAGTCTCAGAAATGAGTTCTGTTTGACTCCTTCAAGGTTAAGGGAGCTGTGGAACATTCAGAGGGCGGGGGCAGGGTGGCAATCTGATATGTGGTTATGTGGCTCTGGGGAGACAACAGGACAGATACAACAGGAGAGAGGCCAAAGGGGATGGCATTGCCTGGGCTTGCCATAGAACGAGAGGGAAGTGGGCCAGGGAAAGGGACAGATGGAGGAAGAGGCTCTCACAACAGGAACTGGGAAGGCACTGTCAGGGTGGAGGAAGGAGACTTTCGTGAGAACCCTGGATTCAAAGGGAAAGATTAGTTCAAGAAGATGGTCTGAGGACCCAGGGGAAGACAAGAAGAGCATGCAAAGAGGTCGCTGGATTTGGAAATGAGGGAGTCAAGAGTCCTCTGTGAGTAGAGTCAGTGCAGGGGTGAGGCTGGGGTGGAAAGCAGGAGAAGGAGCCCAGAGGCAAGTGGCTGGGGGTAAGTGGGAGGGGAAAAGGGAGAGAGAGCAAGACCACTCTCTCAAGGGAAGGTAGCATCTAAAGGAGCACACAGAGTCAAGGGAATGTCTTATGGAGGGGACCTTCTTGGCTGGGTGTGAGTGGGTGAAAACCAAGAGCACAAACTGCCAGGATTTTACCTTTCAAAGTACCACTTCAAATCTGTCTGCGGTAGCAAATAGCACTTAAAGGCTGAGTATACCTGTCACTGCACAGTGAAGAGAAGTGGCTAAAAGCAGAGACTACTGTCAGACAGTCTGGGTGGGAACCTCATTAACCATGCAACCTGGGACTAGTTAACCTCTCTGTGCCTCAATTTTTCATCTGTAAAATGGGGATGATAATAGTAATTATGATAACTCTTACATAGTGTCCTTTGTCAGGCACTGTTGTGCTTTATATACAGTTACTCTTAAATCCTCACGACAGGCCTGTAGGGGTAGGTATTGCAGGGATCGAATTAATGTATATAGAGTCCTTAGAATAGTGCTCGGCACATAGTAAACACTGGATAGGTATACACTTATTATTGTTATTCTATATGAATGAATGAAAGGAAAGCCCACATAAGACTGTATTTATCTACTGCAAATGCTTTCAGAAATTCTGAGATGTCAGAGGATTCAGACATGCAAGGCCTGAAGAGTCAGCTCCGTGAGGAGAGAGGTACAGCAGCAAACAGAATCCCCAGAGCCCAGACCATTACCTGGTCTGCAGTAGGCCCTCGGGGAATATTTATTAAATGGGTCAGTGAAAGGATCAATGAAGTATTGAGGCCTTTTACCCCAACTCCCATCTGAAGTATCAGTTCCTTCTAAGACATCCCAACCAGTGTCCATCCAGTTTGCTTGCACATCTTGCACAGTGGGGATGTCATTACCTCCCACAGCAGCACTTTTACTTTCTGGATGGTTCTGATAGATGGCCTTGTCACTTCCACTCCTTGGTCCCAGCTCTGCCCTCTTCCAACTTGGAAGGTGATGAGCCTCTCTGAACCCTCTCCTGGCTGTGGATGGAAGATTTCTGAGACAAGCGTCATCGCTCACCTGGATGATAGTGACCGCTTAAAATGGGCCTCCCTGCTTCCACCCTTGCCCTACTGCGCCTATTCTCAACTCAGCACCCAGAGGGGTCCTGTTCAGAAGTTACATCTGATCCTGTCCCGCCTCTAGTCAAAACTCTCCAGTGGCTTTGCAGCTCAGAGGAAAAGCTAAGGTCCTTTCAAGGCTACCTCCAACTGCCAACCAACTCTCTCTCCATCCCAGAGCAAGATACAATGACAGCCCCCGGCAGTTTTTGTTTTTATTGGTCAAGAATTCTTTACAAAATCCACACGCACACAAGATGCCTGGCCTGGTTTGGTCACCCCCTGCCCTGCTCTCTCCTGGGATCAGATCTTCCTGGCCTCATCCACTCAGGGACACTATCCTGTAGCACCCTCCTGCCCCAGGTTACCAGCGAAGGAGCAGAAAGAGGGAACATCCTCTTTGCTTCTCTGCACAGAGACAGAGACCTGTGCCCCACCTGTGGGAGTGCAGGTGGGATTGACAGGGAAACAGGATTGTCCCCTTCCCTCCTTCAAGCTCCCTGAATTGCCAGCTTCTAAGGCCTTGGGATCATCTGGTTGAAGCTTCCCCGCCATTTTGCCGACTGGAAATGGAGGTCCAAAGAGGGATTATGAGTCCCTAGGTCACAGTATTAATCACTGGTAGAGCAGGGATTAGAACTCAGCTTCCTGGCTTCCAGGAGGTGGGAAGAGGCTTAGGTCCTACTTAACTCTCAGGAATGGGGACAGCCAGGTCCTGGGGCAGGAGGAGAGTGTCCAGAAGTTGTCCCTGGAACCCACACCCAGGGAAGGTAGTAGCCCCAGAGCAGCTGAGTGAGCCACAGAACCTGGCCAGCACTATAACGGTTTGCCAAGGGTGCCCTCTGTGACTGCCCGTGTGGCTTGCTCGGGTATACAGCCTGGGTCCGTCAGGATACTGGTAGATGTGCTCAGCTGGCGAAGGGAGTTCAGGACAGCTGGGGAAAGAGAGAGAGACACCTCCTGGGGTCAGGGCCCTGCCCTTGGATGCTAAAGACAAAGAGGTTGGGGGAGATACTGTTTAGCAAGACTGTCAGCCTCATCTGCATTTGTAGATGTCCTGGTGGCCGGGGGACCATCCAGGGGGCATGGCGAGATGACCAAAACCCTTGGCTATTTTGAAGGCAGGCTGAACCTGGGGTCTGAGCAAAGTACAACCATCTTCCCTGAGGCCTGGACATTCCACTGGGCAGGCAAGTGGCTCACGTACTTGGCCGGAGAATGGGCAAGGAGCAGTACTGGTCCAGCCAGGCCAGCGAGGTCTGGCGGAGGCTCTGCAAGCTCGCTGTAGACACCATCCCGTTGAAGGACTCGAACAGAGGCCGGATGAGGATGCTGAACTGAGCCCAGGTCAAGGAACAGGCCTGTTGTCTAGCCAGTATCCTCACCCACCTCACTTATAGCCCTGACATCTATCTGGCTCAAACCATGGGAAAGGCCTGGCCACTGTGAAGCCTCAAACCCTGAGGACTCTCCCACTGCAGCCACCCTCCCATCCTTCCAAGGCCTCCCCAGCTAACCGGCTGGCAGCTCCCTTCCCCAGCTCTTCTATGGCCCATCCCTGGGCTTCTTGTCCCAGCTTAGCCTAGAGCTTGACCAGTAAGGGAGTGAGTGATTCTCTAGTGCCCAGCCCACTCATGCCACTCCGAGTTTAGGTTCTCTCAAATTGTGCTTAGGACTTTCTGTGGGCAGGGGTGTGGTCCCCCCACCCAGGGGTTTCTCAATCAGTTTCCTTCTGCTCTCAGCCCATCACTGGGCAAATTGCTGGCCAAGATGCCAAAGCCTGGAAGGAGGGAGTGGAACTGGCACCCCTCCCCCTGGGAGCAGCTCTGAAACCCTGCCTGGCCTGTGGAGCTGAGCCTGCAGCCAGGCACAGCCTAGTCTAGCTGCAGCACTCACCCCACCCTGGCCAAGTGAGGATACTACCCAGAACTTCCAGTTATGCAGTGTGCGGGTCCGGACATAATCATCAAACATATCTCGCATCTGGTCAAAACGCTGGTGTGTGATGGGCACTCCAGTAGCCGGCAGTTGCTGCTGGCACAGGCTGGGGGAATGGGGCAGGTCAGGGGTTGGGAGTCAGGTGACAGGACGCCTTGCCCCTGTGCCACAGGTCCCTGCCTACTTAATGGCAGTGTTGAGCTCCTCAATCTGGTCCCGTAGCTGCTGGGCCTCCTCCTGTAAGGCTGCCCGCTCCTGCTGTAGCATGGTGATGTACTCGGCTGTCTTCTGCAGTGTTGTCGCTTTGCTGACCTGTGGGCATCACCAGTGTGGGTCAGGTGCTGGAGCCACCCCAGCCTGGGACCCACTGAAGGAGGTAGGAAGAGGTAACTGGGTGTCTGGAGGATCCTAGGATTTGGTCTTGGGCATGGGAGTCCACTAAAGGCCCTGTGGTTCTGCAGGTGCCAGCCTAGGTTGTGGCTCACCTTGAGGCTGGGCTGGGCACTGAGTGTGCTCACTAGCCCATGCAGGGTGTCAAACCCCAGCTTGATATTGAAGCGCCGCTTCTGCTCTGCAGAGATGTGTGTGATGCGCCGGTTCTCAGTCTTGGAAGGCAGAAAGGGGGATGAGCATAGGAAGGAGCGTGGTAGGGCCTAAGGTTAGCAAACAGATCTTGGGATGGCAGGGTAGTGCCACCTTGTTGTCTGCACGGCTCCGGTTTAGGATAGGTTGAGGGGGAGAGACTCGGACACTCAGAGTCCCTGGGCCTGGCATGGAGTTGAGCTCCCCAGACAGCCGCCGCTCACCACCTATGGCAGGGACAGAAAAAACCACAGACAGACCGACACAGGGGAGAGGGTCCCATTGCCCTTTATCCTTCCCCTCCCCTCCATCCCCCAGAGTCCCCCCAATCTCTGGAAACCCTGTTTACCGCTGAGTGCTGGGGGTGACAGCCGTTCTGCTTTGGGGACAATCAGAGGCCTGGGAGGGGCCAGTGTGGCTGGGCCTGGAGGGGGTCGGGGGGGGGGGGGCCATTTTTTCGGGTCGGGGGAAAGAAGGTGCAGGGGAATTCAGGGACCATCTCCGGCGGAAGTGAAGAAGGGTGGAGAGTTGGGGTGAAGCTCAGAGACTCCCCCCGACTCCCAGTGCCCACCATCTTACCGGGGACTCTGGGGGCCGCAGAAGGGCGCTGGACACAAGTGGTGGCTCCAGGACTTGCTCAGGCTTGGCTGTGCACAGGCAGAACTGTGAGGCCTGCTAGGGGAAGCCCCAACCCAAGCATCTCCCAAGACCCCATCCCTCCACTCCTAATAGCCCACACCTTTGGGTTCAGGACCCATGTCTTTAGTTCCTCACCACTCTGTGCCCAGCTGAGCCTCTCCCTTAACCTTCGCCCTCTACTGCCACAGGCTCCCCACTTCCACATTTTGTCCCCATCACCCGCTCTGTTGACCCTGCCCCTCCCATCTCACCTGCTTTGAGCAGCTGTGTGAGGCAAGGGTTGTTGCCCCCAGCAGTGGCAGGGGCCAAGGTGGGAGGGCTGGGTTTCCGCCCCCTAGTGGTTGGGGTGGGGGACTTGCCTCTGGGCCGTGCGCCTTGGGGTACTGTGAAGTGAGGCCCAAATGGGGGCTCTGGATACCCCAAAGGTAGAAGGTCCATGGGGAAGGGGGTGGGGGCAGGGCCTGGGACAGGCTGTGGGGTGGGTGGGAAGGCTGAGGGAGTGGGCAGTGGAGACACTCGCCTCGTAGGGACAGTAGGGAAGGAGAATCTGGGAGACAAGAGAGGCTCTCCCTGCACCATAGCAGGAGGCGGAGCCACAGGAGGGAAGAGGGGTGGGGGACAGGGCTCCAGGCCAGGCCCCTTGGCAAGAGCAGGGTATTGGAGGAGGGGTGGAGGGAGGGGAGAGGGTGGGAGCTTGGGCTTGGGGTCTTCATGGAGGAGGAAATCAGAACTCAGGGAGGCACTGGAGTCCAGGGAGCCAGGGCAGCTGCTCCGAGCCTGGTTGGGGGGACAGAGAGAGAGCAGGGGAGAAAGCTGGTCTTTGCAGCCACCCAGGCAGCCTCCTGCCCTGGAAGAGCTCTGGACTGGGCAGTGAGAGAGATAAGAGAAATGATCCCTGAACTTCAGTACGCGAACAAGGGAAATTATAATCTAATGGAGGGAGGGAGTAGAACACATTTATGCACAAATTAGGCATGAGAAAGAAGATCAAACTTTCTGCGCATTCATTCATTCGCCAAATAATTCATCCATCCATCCATCCATCCATCCATCCATCCATCCATCCATCCATCCACCCATCCACCTACCTATTTATTCTCTCACCTATGAGCTAGCTCATTTACCGTTCCACCAGCCCACCAGATACTAACTCATTCACTAATCCATCCAACCATCTATACTTCTCTATTCATCCACTATCAGCTGTACATTCACCAGCCACTTATCCACCCACCAGCCCATTGATGGATTTGCAAAACTGTTCATCTATGACTTCATCCATCAGCCCATCCATCCAACCAACCACTCACCTACGTATGGATACATCAACTCATATAAGCATCTACCCCCATCTATAACCCATTTGTCCATTCACCAACATACCCATCCATCCATATACTCATTCATTCATTCACTCACTCACTTGCTCAATCACTGGGCAAGCATTTACCCAGTGCTGTTAAAGTGCCTGAACTGTGCTGGGTATGGAAGATGTAGTGTTGAGCAAGACATAGTCCTTCCAGTAAGGAGCTCACTGTCTAGTCTAGGAGAGAGACCCCTCAACAATGAACTATGATAGTGTCGAAAAAGTCTGATGATGAAGGGAAAGGCATCTAACCTAGCGGCCGGAGACAACATCCGAATTGGGTCTGGGAGTTCTTGAGTCAAAGTGGTGGATTCACTGTTTCCTAAACACACATGCTCAGCTTTCTGCTGCCATGCACTCGTTCAAGCTTCTCCTCCTAGCTTCTCCTCCCATCTGACTTGCCCTCTACTAGTCTCTTCTTCTGTCCAGACCCATTTCAATAAGGCCCAGAACTCTCCCTCTTCGAGGAAGCCTTCTGCAAGCAACCCAGCCCTCGGTAGTGCCTGCTCCATGTTCCTCCTGCACTCAGCCTAACTCCCCTACAGCCATCTTGTCAGTTCTGTTTCACAAATGTCTTTCCTCCCCAGCTGAATTGCACCTCACTAGAGAGCAGAGATAAGGTCTTTCTCCCCCTCCAGTCTCTCTCTGTGAACCAAGCACAGGACTGGGCATTCAGAAAGTGCCCAGAATACCTCCTGGCAGGTGAGCTGGGTAAGGCTGGGAGGGATGGGGTGAGCTCACCTGCAGGCGGTTATGCCCTGGGAGGTGGGTCATGCCCGAGGAGGCAGGGGGCACCTCGGAGCCCAGGATTCCACTGTTGAAAAGGGAGTCGGCCATGGGGCCAAAGCTGGGGGGCTCCAGGAAGTTTGAAGGCGTGGGAGTCTGTGGGGAGCGGTAGTTGGTGAAGAAATCTGTAATTCAGACACAGAGGGTGGCAACAGTTAGGGCTAAGGACATGGCTAGAAGCTGTGGGAGGAGTACAGGCCTCGTGTCCTGTCCACAGACTGAGCTGGGGAGGGGGAGCTTCCACAAGAGATTGTGAAACTGGGAGAGTTTCTGTCTCAGGGGAAGCAGCAAGAGGCCTGAGTGGGAGACAACAGGGGACTGTGTGGGGTGTGAGCAGGACCCCAGAAGTGGCCCTCCCACCTAGCCCCACATTTGGCTCATGAGCCCCCCTTCTCTATCCCCAGGCCTGCGCCCTCCCCTCGTCTGCTTATGTTGCCAGCCCTGCTGGGGATGTAAAAGGGGGAGAAGGTTACAGTGTGTGCGAGGGAGGGAAATGGGTGCAGTCCAAGAAAAGAGGCCTGAGATGAGGAGGAACCTCAGGGTGACACGAGTTCAAGGGGTGAGTTAGGGGTGAGAGGGGTCAGGAGGTCAGCGGGTCTGGGACATGTTGGTTTGTTGGAAGGTCAACAAGTGGGGCCTCAAGGGCAGAGCCCAGGAGTAAAGTGAAGGAGCTAAGAAGGTGATAGCAAGGGTCGGAGGGTAGGCTCAGCGTGGGGGCTACAGTAGGTGGGTGCTGGAAAGCTTGGAAAAGCTTGTGGGGAGGGGACAGCCAGATTTTTTGAGGTGCAGGTTGTGTAAGACCCAGGCTATTCTGGTTTTGGGAAGCAGCTGCCTGTGGCCTAACCACATCCCCAGCCTGGGTGCCACCCGCCTACCCGCTCCCTTCCGGGCACCTTTTTCTGACCCTGACCAGCCTTCAGTCTATACCAGCTCCCAAGGCCTCTTGGTCTGGCCGGACCCGACCCTGCCCGCCTTGGATAGGCCCCAACGCCCCAGCCAAGGGACCCGGTCAGGCCTCTCCCCCGGGGGCCACCTTGGAGACCTGGGAGTGGGACAGAAGAGCATCTTGAGCCTTGAGCACCAAACCTTGAGCCTGATGAGGTCAAACCTGTGTGTACATCTTATGTGACTCTGGGAATCACATGTCACTGGGCAGCTGGCTTGGCATATCAGTGTGTGGTCTTATGCAGCATCTGTCTGTCTGCCTCCCTGTGTGTCTGTTCCACTGTCTGTAGCTCTGTCTGTGTGCACCTGCCCTGATGTGAGATACTTGGAGTGTGCGTGTCTGCCATGCCCACGTTTGTGTGTGTGTGTGTGTGCGCACGTGTGTGTGTGCGCGCGTGTGTGTGCGTGCACCATCAGAGCTGGAACTCCAGCTGGTGTGTCTGATCTCAGATGCAGTGCTCTTTCCACCGTCTCTTAATTCTCATTTAAGATGGACCCCGCAGGTCAGATTCATTGAGGGCTGGGGGAGAGTAGGGGAGATGTGTGTGTGTGTGCACGTGTGTGTGTGTGCGCGCGTGTGTGTGTGTGCGTGTGTGTGTGTGTGTGTTGGCTACATCATCAGAAGGGATCTTCCTGCTGTCCTGCTGCCTTTCTTTAACAGAGGGAGTGGGTGGCAGAGGGAGAGCAGTCACCAAGCCTCCATTCTCCAGCCCCCAGGGACCACGGGCCTCCTCACTAGGCCCCTTGAGGCCTGGGCTATAGAACCAGCCATATCCTGGGCCTGGCCCCAGGATGCTGAGGGCCACAGAGCAACTCTCTGCTCACTGCTGCTGCCCGTTCCCCAGGGCTTGTTAGGCCTCATGGAGCATTGAGTCCAGCTCATCACTGAGTCACCACTATCCCCTTATCTTAGATTGTGGGCTTGTCTCCACCTGGCCTTGAGAGAAGCTGCTTCCTAGTCCTAGGCACCCACTGAGTACCCCCCTATTCTCTGCCCCCCTCCACTGATCTAACATCCCCTCCCAGCCTCAAGTTCCCTCCCCTTCTCTGAGCACCCCGTACCCTTCACTGAACCCTCTCCTTACCAGTTCCCTCACTGGGTTTTCTCTCAAGTGAGGAGCTCGTGGGAACAATCAAAGCAGCAGCAAAGCAGCAGCCCTGGTTGCCCCAGTGCTCCCTGCCCTCCCAGTGCACAGTGTGCTTGAGGGGGTCACACTGGCTACCTCTTTTAAATAGGTCACCCACACTCACCCCCTATCCCAGCAGACACCCTGGGCTGAGAAGTCACTTCCTAGCCTCAGGTTTTGCCCAGAGCCCAGGGGAAGGGTGGCTGAGATCCTACCTGTGGCAGGGGTCTGTGTGCCCAGACAGGGCCGCTGCCCTCCCAGGCTGGTCTGCTCCCAGGGCACTGCCATCAACACTTCTGCCCCCTCAGCCCCCACCCCTGCCCAGGACTGACGCAGGGATGGGGGTGGTTCCTCATTCCCTAGTCCCCGCCCCATAGGCCTCTACCTCTTGATTGACAGGCCCAGGACCCTGTGGGAAGGAGTGAAGGGGTCACCGAAACTGAGCCTTTATCCCAGGAACCCCTTTTCTGCCCCCTAGGACTTGGCTGAAACAGGTTGAGCCCTGATGTCTATCTGACTCCCAGAATGGCTCTGGAGTCTTCTAAATGTATGAATATCGGGGTCAATCTCCAAGATCTACAGCTAAGTGAAGAAAGCAATGTGGGGAAGAGTCTACTATGAAAACAAAAACAGACATTTGTCCATGTGCGCTTATTTTATATAGACATGTATCTCAGGAAGGACATGAGAAACCAGTGACTTGGTGGTCCTGGGGGTCAGGACAGTGAGGCATGGAAACATACTACCTAAAAAAAACATGCTTTACCAGATATAATTCCTGGGATTTTCTTAAAAATAACACAGGAGGGGAGAAGTGAGTGAGTTCTAACTGAAACAAGACTGGCCAATAGTTGGTAAATGTCCAGGTCAGTGATGGCTGCATGAGGGTTCATGGAACTCTCTCTACTTACATGTATGTCTGAAATGTTCTTTTAATAAATAGTTGTTTTTTTTTTTAATGAATCATATAAATAAATAGACCCAAACAAATCACAGTCCCTTTCTCCCCTGAGAGAGTCTCAACATCCACTGCTTTCCTGGGAGCTCCCACAGTCTGCAGCTTCAATGCCTCTGGTCCCCTGTCCCCTGCCTAGGTACTTGGTCTGGCCCTGCTCTCACCTGAGGCCACACCAGCTTCATCACAAGACCAGACAAAGCGACATCAGGAAGATTTCTCAGAAGTCACCCAGACAAACTACCCTCCCAGAAGGGTATAGAACTGGCCTGAGGTCAACCTGGGTTCTCCTCCCACTGACCCTGCCATTCCATCTCAGGGGAGGAGCCTGCCCCACCTGAGATCTCCATAAAGTCATCCAGGCTGGGCTGCAGAGGTGTCAGTTCCGGCTGGATCATGTCAGCATTGTTGACGTAGGCTGGAGGGGGCAGTGGTGATGTCAGGAGCAGCAGGCAGGGTGGAATGGGGTCACCTGTCCCCAGCCATCCTCCCTTGGCTGCCTGGATTCTCACAGGCCTTCTTTCCCAGGTGCAGGCTCTCACCATCCTCGGGGGGCAGCTGCAGAGGTGTGGGGCTGGGTTGAGTCATGGTGAAGAGAGTGTCGGAGATGTCGGACAAAAAGCAATCGAGGTCCAGAAGCTGCCGCCCTCCAGGCTCCTCCTCTGGGCCCCCCAGCAGCACAGGTACCACGCTGGAGAAGAGCTGCTCGCACCATCTCTCTGGTGGCTGCCACCCCCCTTCCGCCTAGGGAGACAGAGCCATTAGTTGCTGCTCTCACTCTTCTCCAGCCTGGGGACAGGAAATGGTCAGGGGTCTGCCATTGCTCCCCATTCTTCCATATCATCTCCCGCTGGGGGGATGAAGTGGTCAGTAGCCAGAGGGCCTCTGTGCAGTCCCTCCTTACCTCTCTCTGGTGGACCCCTAGGACTTGGCTGAAACAGGTTTGCTGCCTGGAAGGCTGGGGTCACCTCTCTGGCCTCTGACAACTACCCTCAGGAGATAGACTGGGATGGCTTGCCAAGGAGATTAGGGTCCCCCTCCTGCCTCCTATACTTTTTCCTGCCAGGGACCCCAGGTTTTAAGACCCTCTGTTCCCCCATGCCTCCCCACTACTTGCTCAGTCAACCAGAAGGCTGAGGGTCTTCCCACCACTGTGTTCCAAGGGAAGAAGGGCCAAATCAACTAGAGGACAAGAGTCACTCCCACTACCCTCTTGTCACACCCTCACCACCCCCAACCTGCCACTGCCCCATTCACCCAGAAGGAAACTGTCAACTCTGCATCCCTGAACACCCACCTGCTTTGGGACCAGGAGATCCCCTTCCCTGCTGGACTTACGGAGCTGCAGGAACACACAGAAGTGGACACTGGATTCCTTGCCCCTCCTCCATCACTCCCTACCAAGGCCTCCCCTACTCACAAGCTCCCCCAAATCAAAGAGATCCCCCATTTCCCCTCAGGAGCTCCTCCAATCTGGGAGGTACGGAGGTTGCGAGGAGACACTATGACCACACGGTGGCGCTGTGAACCTGGGCCTTAAAGGAGGGCAGGGTTGGGGTCAGGGGAGCGCCTCCAGGTCTCTTCCAAGAGAAGCGGTGGCCAGCGGCCGCAGGGAAAAAGTCTGGGGCTTCCCCCACGTCCCTCACTGACCCGTTTCTTGTAGTAGATGCGCCACTTGTGGTATTCGCGCATCACCACCTCGATGCGCCGTTTCCAGTAATTTCCCTCCAGGACGACAGCCTGGGGAGGGCCGGGAGGTGGCTCAGTGCGAGGTGTAGCACTTACTCCACCCCTCACCCAATCCGCATCTGGGCCAGCCCCTCCCATCCAGCAGGGGAGACTGGATGCAGGGGGCTGGGTTTGGTAGGCGGTGGTCCCTTGAGTCTCAGCTACCTCCGGTTTCCGGTGCTCGTCAGCCTCAGGCCCCTGCAGGGGGGTCACGAAGCCACACACGGGGCTCTTCCTCCGCTCCACATCTGAGAGAAGGGGGCCAGGTCAGGGGTGCCCAGCTACCTCATCTCCCACCCCAAGGGGACTGGGACTCAAGTACGACACTACTAAATCTTGCCTGGCCTTCAATGCTCATAGTAAGTGCCACCTCCTCCAGGAAGCCTTCCTGCATTCTTCTCTAGGCCTACCAGATCTCCCTCTTCTATGCTAATCTGTGAAAAGAACCCAACCTAATAGGGGGCAGGCAATGCTTGCTTAATGGGATTTTGGGACCACAGGGAGTGAGCTGACCCAAGAACATCCTGATCAGACTGACAGGATAGGGGCCCAGAGCCCTCAGTCCCCTGCCTCAGGCTCCTGGGCACTGCCCACTCTGATCTCAGAGAACCACCCCTTGTCCACTACAGGCTACCTACCTGAGCCCTTTTTCTACCTCCTCTACTCCCTTCCCTGTCTCCAATCCTGATCTCTCCCCAGGCTCATTCTTTTTGGCCTATAAACACATTCTATGTTCTTTACCCCCCAAACCTTTCCCTTCCTTATGTTACCCATCAAGCTAACCCTTTTGCTTCCCTCTTTATTCCTTTGCCTTTCCCCCAAACTCTGGAAGAACTGTCACTTGCCATCTCCACTTCTGCATCTCCCAGTCTCATCTTCACCTCCTGTAACTCAGCATCTGCCCCCATGCCCACCTCCAAACCACCCTCATCCTGCCCCTTTCCAGCTTCAGACCCATTTCCCAGTTGCCTAGGGACCCTCCACTAGGATGTATCAAAACTTGTCAGTCTCAGATGTTTGGGAAATTCCCTCCTCAGCCTGTGCTTCCTCTGGACTGCCAGCACTGCCCCTCAGTCACCAAAACTCTCTTCCGACTCCCAGCATTCCTGTCTAATCCATGGACTAATCATCTCAATCTCAAGGGTGACATTTCTTTCAGTGTCCCCTCCCTTCCATATTCTTATTGTCATCCCCTGGTCTGGCGTCATTTCTCACCTGGAACCTCCCTGACTCACACTCTCCAGCCCATCTTCCTGCTGCAGCCAGGTCAATTCTTCCTGAAGCACAGTTCAGGTCTGAACCCCTCTTCAGTTCTCTAAACCTCCAGAATAAAGACTACAGCCCTGAGCTCGGCTTCCTAGCCCTCCACAATGGGTCCCACTGCTTCTTCAGCCTGTCTCCTTCACAGCTCCCTGAAGCCAAACAGCTCCCTGCTGCACAGCCCACCCTTTATTCTGTAAGGAACACCTCTCCCTTCCCTCCTCTGCTTCATGCTCATCTGCCCACCTGCCAGGAGAGCCCAGAGCAGCCCCACTTCCATGAAGCCTTACCTCCTCTGAAAATCTATGGGCTGGTCTGCATCACTATCCACCTGCCTGGCCATTTCTCCACATGCTGGCCTCCCCACTGGGAGTGAAAGAAGGAGCTGTGCCCTTTAGCCTAGAATCCCTGCATCTGGTACAGAACTTGGCACACAGCAGGACTTCAAAGCCCTAGGACCCCCAGGCAGCGACTTTTTCTGGCAGTCAAAGTCCTTGACAAAGAGGATTTCAGGAGTATCCATTGGGGCCCATCTTACCACAGCCCTCAGCAAACTTCCTCTGAAACAATTGACACCCGAAGAGGAGGGGGAGGGGGACCACCCGAACATGAAATTTCTTTGTACCTTCAGCATCATTTACAAAATTTTGTCCTAAAGGACATTCTCTAAAACAGTGGCCCCCAACTTTTTTGGCACCAGGGACCAGTGCTCCTATGAGAATCTAATGCCTGATGATCTGAGGTGGAGCTGAGGTGGTGATGATAGTGCTGGGGAGCAGCTGGCTGTACTCTCCTGCTGCTCACCTCCTGCTATGTGGCCTGGTTCCTAACAGGCCACAGAATGGACCCATCCACAGCCTGGTCTAAAATGATCTCCATTGGGGTTTGTCCTTGTTGCTGAGCATGGCTTGGACAGAAAACAAAGGGATAGGCCCTCGCACGTGTGGACTCCCAGGGGGTTATATTAAGGAATCCTCAAGAGCATCTGCTCCTGGCTTCCCAGAAAAGGAAATGAGCACCAGGAAAGAGTAAGTTTGCCCAGGGTCCCCAGAGAGTCAGGGCTGAGCAGGCCTGGTGGAACTCTCCCCTTCCCCGCCCAGGGACCCTGTGCTCTGGATGGAAAAGCAGTGACCCCGTGGCTTCCTGAGAGTTGGGCAGGCTTTATTTAACAATGAAAAGTTAATCTACTCATGCAGCCACCTAGCCCCTTTGCACCTATGCTAGAACAGATGCTGGGACAGAATCCACAGATGACTTAGGGCACTCACAGCTTAGTGGGTGAGATGAGGAAAACACAAGCATAACATAAGCTAATGCCAAGTAGAGAGTCTGCCCATGGGAGGACACAGTGCTCTGGGAGTTCAGAGGAAACCCAGACGAATTTGGGGTGTGGGAAAGGAAGGGATCTTAGAGTAGCCAGGAGCCTGCAGAGGGGTAGCAGCTTCCAGGAGGATGAGCAAGACAGCCCTCCAGCACTAGTCACCCCTCTCCCTTTCCTGAAGCCCACTTCCGAACCTTGGATGCTCAGGGAGGAGGAGGAGCCCTGATATTTTTTCTCTGCTTGCCTATGCTGTTGCTATTATCATATAGTAGTGCTAGATCCCAGAGTTCACCCTCAGGGAGTCCTTGTGTCTGCTTGGTGCTGAGATGTGATCTGACTGAAAACTCATAGCAGAATTCAGCAGTAGGATCTATTATTATGCCCACTTACAGGTGAGCAAGCTTGGGCTAGGGGATGCTAGAGACTTTGCCAAGGTCACACAGCTACGGCATACTAAAACTTGACTCAAAACCACCTGTGTCTGACTCAGAATCTGAGGTCCTTCCAGCAACTTGTACAATAGCTGGAGACCGAAGTCTGTCTGGGTGAGGACCCCAGGTAGCATCAGAAATTTCTTCTGCAGAGAGAAGGGTTTATACCCCACCCAGCTTTGCGGGGAAGGGTAGAGGATGAAACCTCAAGGTGGCAGGGAGGGGGAGATGGACAATAACATTGATTTCCTAGGCCTATCAGCTTCCTGGTTTGGGCAGGGCCTGTTCTTAGGCAAGGTCTGGAAGCCATACAGCAGGGTGCAGAGGAAGGAGCACTGGGCTCAGTTGGAGAGCCCTGGACTTACAGCCAGCCACAGCTCTGCTCTTTTTATGCTCTGTGACCTGAACAAGTCACTTGTCTTCTGGGCCTCACTTGCTCATCTATAAGATGGGGATAATAATACCTATCTCCCAGGATTGCTAGGAAGCCTTAAATAAGATGATTTATGATTTATGATAGATGAACAAAACCCAAAAAACAACTCCTTCTCTCTGCTTAGATAGAATCTAGTGGGGCCAGTGCAGAGAATATCATGTGTGGTCCCTCCTGGGCTGTGTGTTCCCTGCTCAGTGCAGCCCTCTGATCTTGCAGGGGGACATAACTGAGTTGGACAAGGTCCCAACACAGGGTCAACTAATCTGAGGCCTCTTAGCCTCTGCTGCTCTGCCGCAGGGCGAGTGGGGAGTCTTGTATTCCCAAATGAATGACTGTGACCTTCTCAAGGGTACGTCAGATTCGACCATCATTTATTGAGCACTTTGTGCCAGGCCTGTTAATGCCTGTTATTCTCATGCCAACCATGAAAGATAGGACCACTGGCCTCATTTTATAGGTGAGGAAATAAGTTCAGAGAGGTTAAATGACTTGCCTGCAGTCACACAGCCAGCAAGGGGCAGAAACAGGGTGAGAAACCAGTTGTGGGTGATTCCAAGTCCGGAGTCCCTTCCACTCTACCACATGGCAAATCTCCATGATGGTGGGGGTTCCGTAAGGACTTCGGTGAAAGCCTGGTGGCGACCCGTGCAGGGTCCTCACTTTCCCATTTGCAAAGTGACAGAATTGGCCCAGATAGTGTCTAACACGTCTTGCTACCTTCACATGTGAGGCACCTGACTACACTAATAGGATGCAGAATGAACCTTGAATTGCTCCCCAAATCTCAGCCCACCTTAGGACTTCGAAAGGGTGAGCTCTGCTGTGCCCAGCTTCACAGTGGAGAGAGTCATTAGGGACATATTCCCCCAAACTCTCTGGGGGTCAGAAGCCGTTCAGGGGTGCTGGTGCTGAAGGTTTGGTCTCCCCCAAAGCACTCTACTGATCCTGGCTGGGGGATTCCTGGGCAGCCCCCCATGTGTAGCCCTCTTGCTGGGAAGGCTTACGGCACCCACTCACACTGGATATACCAGGCCCTCCAGATGGCGTTGTTGAGGCGGATCTTGTCTCGGCAGAGCAGCTTGAGGCCTTTGAAATTCTTCCACTTGGGAGAGACCAGCTTGCCACTGTCAGAGGGAAAGGGCTGGGTCAGGGGTGTGGTGGAGAAAGGGGAAGGTTGGAGAGGATTTCTGTAGGGCCGGTTCCACACTCTTCTCATGCACTAGGCACTCATCTATGGTGGGCAATTTGAGGGACCCTCTCAAATCCTGCCCCTCACTCTAACCTGCCTGAAATTCCTGCCGAGAGTCAGACCTTTAAAATACCCTCTCCAGGTCCCCACTAGGAGCCCTTGTGTTCTTTGGTGAGACCCACTTGTTAATCTACTACCAGAACTAAAGCCAGGGCTGGAATCTGTTTATCATCTCAGTCCTCATAGCAACAATACCCAGTGGCCTTACAGCCATCTCTGTCTTGTAGGCCACCTAGGATCGGTTTTCAGATACATTTCTTATAGAAGTAAATTGAAGGTCAGGAAGGGAAAGGACCATGCCTAAGGTCACGTGGCGGAGACTCATTCAGGCTCTGGCTTTTTCTCTACCAGTATTGCTGGTTGGTCCCCTTAGGTCCAGGGGATGGGTAAGGTTTGTATGAGTGGAGAGGAAGCCACTCCACAAGAAGTGGCCTCCAAGCAGCCAGCCATTGCCTTTTCATTGCTCTTCTGGTGTCTGCCCCGCCTAGAATCCTAGGATGGCAATCTGAAATGAGCTAGAAAGTATGCCCCTTCTCAGGGGTGTGCCACCTCCCTTGAACCTCCTCTTTTGGTCATCCATGGTCTGGATGGGGGTCGGGCATTAGCCAAAGGAAGGCAGCTGGGACGGTGCAGTGGTGAGAGGTGAAGAGATAACACCCCGACCCTAACCCTATTCCTAGCAGTCAATCAAATTCTCAAGATGAAAGGGCTCTCTCTACACAGGTGAGAGGCTTGACTCTCAGGGTCCTACTAGGCACAGGCCAAGTCTGCTACCCCCAGGGAAATGACGGAGGAAGTCAAGATACTCAAGGTGTTAGATCCCTGCTGGTCCCTCCCTCCTCATGGTCCACAAGCCAGGGTTGTATACAAGTCCCCTATGGCACATCTTCTCCAGTTCTTACTTACATGTAAGGCTGAGGCCTCAAGGCTTAGTCTTTCAGAATATCACGCCTGTTCTCTCCAGGGGCCTCTCCCTCATCCTGGGGGTGAGGGGTGGGTGGGTGGCAGTCTGACTCCTACAGCCCCTTGGGTACATGGGTCACTGGGTCCCCTCTCCTCTCTGGTCTCCAAGCTCCTGTGTTTGCTTGGAGTGGGGAGAGGAAAGGACTGCCAGCCCAAGGCACAACAGGCCTCATTACCCAAATAGAGTACATAGCCCAATCGCCCAGGCCCGCTGGCTGGCCCCCTCCCTCCTAACTTAGATAAACACCATCTGTCCAGGGACCTGGGGGGTGGGGGACACTCTGACATCTCCTGGGCCAGCTTCTTTTGTGTCACTTGGGGGGCTCCTGAGTTTATTGCTCCTGCCTGTATCCCAGCAACCCCCCCAACCCACTCTGATCACCCAGCGCCCCACAGCCTGCCTGCCCTTCCTCTTCCTGAGGTTATAGTGTTTGTGGCCAGGGGAGACGAAACAGTGCCAAAATCTAAGCCCAGGAAGAAAGGTCTATGCTGGACCTGTCAGCTGGGAGGGGAGGAGAAGGGTCCAGTCTGGAGCAAAAAGCCTGGGGCCAGGGTTCAAGGGCTTCTCATGACCAGTAGAAAATCTGGGAATCTTGGGGATGGGATGAGGGAATACTCAGAACTCTGTTCAGCTCTCCACCACCCCTATCCCACCCCCACCCCCGACATAGCTACTATGCAATAATTCCTTTAGAGTCTTTCTGACAGGGTCCTGCTTGCTCCCTTATTTCCCTGAGGCCATTTTCTCCATAGCTCTGATTATAGCTCTGGCCAGCTCTGACCATGGACAAGTGGGTTCTTGGAACTTCCAGAACCTGCCTCCCTGTGGCTTCCACTCACAGAACTATGGAACATGGGCTCCTCCTAGAAATCTTTCCTCTGCCAACAGCTGGCCAGACATTTGCAAGCTGGCCTCTGGGTCAAGCTAGCCACTTACTCCTAGCACCTCTGGACCCCTTGCCTTGCTGTCCCTTCCCATCTGCTCACTCTCTTGGGATATCCTGGTTTCAGCAATCCTCTCTCCTCCAGGGAATCCCTATGATTAGGGTTTTTAAGGACTAAAACACGGTCCCAGTCTGAGCCTCAGTTTTTTTCCCTCTACCAAATGAGGGAATCCAAAGGCTCCTCTGGTACTGAGCCACCTCCATTCCTGGCGCTTAGGCCAACCAGGGCAGGCTAGAGAGTGAATATTCTGAGCCTTTAGGGAGAAAGCATAGCCCTCTCCACCCCAGCTGCCACAGTCAGCCTCTTAGTGAGGACAGTTCTTGGAGTGTGCTCTATCCCCTACCTTACCACCTCCCCTGGACCTCCCCTTTTGGTCACCCACGGTCTGGGGTGGGAGATGGGGGAGGTAGGCATTAGCCAGCTCAGGTAGAGAGGTGTGTAGTATAAACTAGGAGGCTGAAGTTGGGAGTGGGTAGGAAATGGGGGGAGGAGGAAGCTGGGGGAGCCCGCGGAAGAGAGATGCCTGCACCCAGTGTACCAGGACCTTAGATGCCCTGCTCAGGCGGTCTGTGATGTCCGGGGCAGGGGG